ACCACTGAAAAAAGCTCACTTTGTGGGAAAAGAAAGAACATAAAATTCATTTGGGTGCAGCGTTGCATGACCGTGCAATTGTCCGTTAAAGTAATGCAGCGCTGTAACGCAAAAAATGGCTTGGTTAGGAAGAAGGGTAAATCCTCAGGAGGGCAAGTGGTTACAGCAATTTATTACACCTTACTATAACTTTTGCACAGTACGTTACATTTTTACATCCTGACATTGTTTGCATCCAGATGAACAGTGGAGACATCACAGACAACTCCTCCTTTAGGACCACCTATATCTGTCCATCACTTTTATCAATTCCTTTTTCTTCATCACTCATGGTGAAGAGGATGAATTTCAAGAGGCACAATCTGTACAGGAAACACCCTACATGTGACATCATCAACGCTTGATGTGTAACATGAAATATGTAGTCCTTATTAAGTGATTGAAATGAAGCAGCTGAGAAGGCACAGCAAACCATTCAGAGAATTCACAAAGTTGATCAAAGAGATGGTTGATAGATATGCAGCACTTACAACATGAAAGGAGATTTTTTTTTTTACTTTAAAGAGTATGTAAACCCAACATTTCATATTCCTGATATGTGCATGCTGTGTCATTTACTCACTGTACATGAAAAAATATCCTGTTCTCTTTGTATTGCTTCCTTTGTGTGAAATCCCAGGTGATCTTGCCATTCTCTCTGCTTTCCTACTAAAACCTGACCACATTAAGTATAAGAGCAACGCGTGGTAAGTTTTATGGCTGTGCTATGAGCTAATCTAATGATCAGGTTTGTGCTGACATGCCCCGCATGCACAGCCATTCATTGGAAGTTCAGTGTGATGCTGTTTCTTCTCCCTTAGCTCTTATGCAGCTGAAAACAGAGAGTAATTAATTACTTATAAAAAAGGAAAAAGGGTATTTAGAATGTTCTTTAAACTGTATGTATAAACAAATGTTTTTTTTTCATTTCTAGTTTAAACTGAATTGGTTGTTTTACAAGGTGAGGGGTTACATATACTTTAAGTAGAATTGTGGCCAGGTTATGAACATTCAAATATTTACATATTCTTAACAAGTTGCAAATAAGTTGAAAAGACATATTACTATTTCTTTACATTATTTAGTTTCTGGTGTACATGTAGTACACAGGTGTCAAACTGGCGGCCCTCCAGCTGTTGCCAAACTACAAGTCCCATGAGGCACTGCACGATTGACAATTACCAGCATGACTCTCAAAGGTAGAGGCATGATGGGACTTGTAGTTTGGCACCAGCTGGAGAGCCGCCAGTTTGACACCTCTGATGTAGTATATTGCCCCATCTTCCCAGGTGCCCTAAAACACTAGCTGCAATGTCAGACAGGATTCCCCTACTTGGTGCACAGCTGCTTGATGCTGCAACTAGCAAGAAGACAGCTGCTTTGTTTTGTAGTGCTTGTCTCTGGCTCCCAGCATTTTCCTGTGGCACAAGGAATGCAGATGGAGGTGATATGTGTTAGCCTGACCTCTCTCTGCACTCCTTGTGCTAATGCTAGCCTTGGGCTTGTAATGTGAGCCAGAGATGTGAGCCAGAGACCGGCACTAAAAGCAAAGCAGCCATCTCCCTGCTATAGCTGCAGTGCTGACTAGTGTTTTAGAGCACCTAGGAATATGGGACAAAGTACTACATGTACTATGTCCTATTAAGTGCTAAAAAAAATTAAAAATACTGAGAATTAATCTTTAAATTAAACCCTCACTGACCTTTGTAGTTACAACCACTCTAGAGCAATTCAAAGGTCACACGAGAAGCAGTGAAATCATTCAAGTCAGGTTCCCTGGTTCCTTTCACATTTGTGCTTTTTTAACACTGGAAATTAGAAGACTGGTAAGATGCCAAATCTGCTGAGAAAGGGAGAGCAGAGTATGTTGAGCTGCAGAAAAGAGAAATGAAAGTGCTTTCTAATTTGAAATTTGAGGATGAATGACTCCACATTGTCAGCAGCTACAGATATCAGTGACAGCTTATTTTAAAGCTTACTTACTGCTTGTTAAGAATGCATAAGTCCACAACTATACTAGCGTAGCAAGTAAACGTTCACAAAATTCCGTTAAAGAAATGCTATAAAAATGTGTTGTACTTGTGATGCCATTCATTTTTATGGCACCCCAAATACTCCAAGCAAGAGACATGTTTATTCATGCGCAAGAACACACAGACAAGCAGACAAAAAAAGTGTGATTACATTTGAAGCTCAAAAAGTGCATAGGTTTCTTTACCACGCTTATCGCACATAGGACAGTATATTAAAAGGATTGAGTTGTCCAATGCGCAATGCATGATAATGTGCAAAATGTTTGCATAGGAGTGATATCTGTACTACACTAGCGTGAATGAGGGCTTTATATGTTCACAGACTGGCCTCAGTTTTACTTTACACTTTCTGAGATAGGGACCCAAAACAAAAGGGTATAATAAATCAGTAGTAAATGTTCCCCCTGCAAGGAAATTTCATAATGTGCTAGTAGCTTCGCCTACTAGCACAATATGAGAGATTTACCTTAATATGAAACCCTCCAGCAGTGCACTGTTATCACTGACAGTGCTTCCATCTTCACCCGATCTTCCTTCCAGGTTTGCCGGCTCCCTCAGTTTGAATGGTTGAGCTACAAAGATATCCCTCCTGCGCATGCACATGGGAGCCATAAGCCCTTCAGAGCACAATGAGCCGGTGATGTCACTGGCTGCAGAAGTAGTGAATATCTCCTAAATGGTGCACATTTAAGAGATATTTCTTGTACCTACATAGAAGCTTTATTATATGCATACCTGTAGATAGAGCTAGCAGTGTTTACAACTTCTTTAACCACTTGCCCTTCAGAGGATTTACCCCCCTTCCTGACCAGGCCATGTTTTGCGATACGGTGCTGCGTTACTTTAACTAAAAATTGCGCGGTCTTGCAACGCTGCACCCAAATGAAATTTACGTCTTTTTTCCCCCCACAAATAGAGCTTTCTTTCGGTGGTATTTGATCACCTTTAATTTTTTTGCACTATAAAAAAGACCAACAATTTTGGAAAAAAAAAAAACCCAATATTTTTTACTTTTTGCTATAAAACATATCCAATAAAAAATTTTACAAAATCTAATTTCTTCATAAATTTAGGCCAAAATGTATTCTGCTACATGTCTTTGCTAAAAACAGATTCATTGTAAATTCATTGGTTTACGTGAAAGTTATAGCACCTACAAATGGCGGTATCTATACTGGAATTTTTATTTTTGTTTACTAGTAATGCCGGCAATCTGCGACTTATAGCGGGACAGCAGTGGGCATTCTGACACTGGGTGGGAACTGACTAACTGCCACTGACATCCCCAGTGACACTAACACAGTGATCAGTGTTAATAAAAAGCACTGACACTGTACTAATGACACTGGGCAGGAAGGGTTTAACATCTGGGGTGATCAAAGGGTTAATAGTGTGCTGTGTATTTTACTGTGTGCTGTGTTTTACTAGGAGGACATGCTGCTTTGTATTTTGTTGTGCAGAGATATATAAAACAACCTGTCCATGCTTACAGGAGAGAGACCTGTGTTGTTTACACACAGGTCTCTCCCGTCAGCTTTCCCTGACGATCACCGAGTGCAGGCCCGGGAATTGCCGGCTGGGACCCAGTGATTGACATCTCTAGCCACCAATAGCGGCATGGGTAGGGCGGCGCGCACGTGATTTTGCACAGCCCTGCTGCCCTGTAGTATTTCTGCTATAGGGCAGAGGGAAAGTGGTTAAAGTACAACAAAAGGCAAAACTTTTTTTTCTTCATTTTGGATAGAGCAAGGGAGAGTTGTAATCCCTGTCACAATTTTTTTTTGCCATCTATGTCCCATTTCAGAAATTTCCCCTCACTTCCTGTTCCATAGCCAAACAGGAAGTGCAAGGATATGCCTGCAAATAAATGGAATCCCTTGGGGATCCCCAGGTCACCAGAACTAGTGTCCCCATTGGAAAATTTCCCTTCTATTACTTTTTTGGGGACATCCCAAAATTTGGGATTTTCTTTACTTTTACTTTCAATGATAATGGTAAACAGGACAAATAGGATGAATCTCCGAAACAGGGGCACAGACAAAAAAAAAAAAAAAAAAAAACCTGACAGGTGATTTAATCTACCTCTAATCTGTCTAAAACTAAAAAGAAGTTTATCCTTTAGGTATGCTTTAAGTGTTCTGACATTCCCCTGACAACACTTTCAGTAAGCTTTTTCAAGATCACTGATTCAGAATGAACTGACACCAAAGACATGCAGGTAACTGGTATTTTTAGAAGCACAGCTATGGCAGCCCAATATTCCCATATTCAGTCCATATTTCTCTCTAGTTCCCTGGTCTCCTCCTCCCATGCCCACCTCCAGGACTTCTCCAGGGTGTCACCCATCCTCTGGAACTCCCTGCCCCAACCCATCAGATTATCACCTACTCTCCTCTCCTTTAGGCGCATCCTGAAAACCCATCTCTTCAGGGAAGCCTACCCCACCCCCTGCTAACTTGCCGACCTCCTCCACTCTTCCTACCACTCCATCCCCCACAGCTATTTCCTCCTGTGCCACCATCCCCTCCCTCCTAGATTGTAAGCTCGAAAGAGCAGGGCCCTCGATCCCCTCATGTTTTGCATTGTATTGGTATTGTTCTGTCACATGTTCTGTCCCCCTCTGTAATGTACAGCGCTGAGCGAACTATTGGCGCTTTATAAATACTGTATAATAATAATATTAATAATATTTCTCTCCAGTGTCCAGGTAGGGGAGTGTTACATGTTAAAGTGTTACTAAACCCAAGACCCAGTATTCACTATATCTGGTCTCCCACAGTACAAAGAACATGAAAATGCAATTATTTTAGTAAATAAAAACAGCTAAATACATTTTCTCATCAGCAATTAGAGCAATCTTGTAACTTCAGCTGAGCACTGGTTAAAGCTTGTAGGAAGAGTTTTCTTTCTGCTCTAGGAGGATGCAAAACCACTGACCTCTGTCCGGACAGTGCTGGTTGGCCCTGTGCTGATCACATGCACTCTCCCAAGAAAAAAGAAAACTCTCTAGCAGTACTCACTAAACTGAGCATGTGCAGAAGGGCTAAGGAGTCAGTCTGTCTTATCAGCGTGGACATTTGAACAAGAAGAGGGGCAGAGAAGTCAGGATCAAACAGCCTTTTTACACAATGCAGAGGATTAACCCCTTAGGTTCCACAGTGAGTATAACAACCATGCTTTACTGCATATACAGACTGATTTTACTGTTGTGGGTTTAGTAACACTTTAAGGATGCCTTATTGTAGGAAATACATGATTACTATCTAAAAAGCTGGTCATCTGCACATGTATTCTTAGCTCCAGGAGCCTTGTGCCATCAACTACCTGTGCCAGACACCCAGAACCGGGAAACAAATGTAGACTTCTGCTGATATATTTTCAATATGCTACGAAGGAATGAAAAGAACTCTATAAATGTACCCACATCCAATGTACAATGACCTGATTTGCTAATGTGCAATCATTTAAAAGTTGTTGCCATGACATCTAGAGATCAGTCTTCTGAATGAGATTAAACTTGCAGTTTAGGAGTAGTCAGACCCCTTTTTATATACTGTTCTTGACAAAGGAGAGCTAATTAAACCACTATGAAAGACTGGAGTGTCAAACATTATTAAACCCCTGTCTGTGTGTGTGCCCTGGCTCAGAACATTTCATCCACTTATATCTGTAGAGCCCTCAGAATCATTTGCTGTTTGAAATGAAGCAAAATATGTTTACTGATTAAGATGTTTTAGTATCATCAGGTTTACTCGCTGTTTATATACCGCTTGAACTGTCACTTTGTGGGATGAACATGCTGGTCTATCCACGATGCAAAAAAATAACTGAGCAAAACGTGTGTTTATAATCAGTTCTTAGACATGATTTGTTTTTCATAAATTTATGAAATTTTGGAAGGATTTTGGCACCTTTCTGCTTTCTACTGTGCATGCAAAGATTTTAACAATATTAATTATATCTCAAAATAAAAGCATGTTCTGGAAAGATATAAAATCCATTAGCAACCTGTTAATACTAACCAGAGGGCATAGCAACTGGGCTAAAGAAGGAAGTATATTCCATAACATTATAAAACCATGATACTTGTGAGCTACTATGGTATATGTGCATGAATATCTTATTTGGTGAGTGATATATAAATTATTAAATGTAAATGAGTAAATAAATACATAAAAACATAAAAAACATAAAAAATATATAAGTGGGTCGCCTACACCTCACACACACTCATACATGTGTGTCACTATAATCAGAAATATATGCAAAAACGTGTCGCGCTCCACAAATATTAAATATGATATTTACACTGAAATATAAACATAGGATTATTATGTATAATCCAAAAAATATTAGTCACAAAAGTGAGTCCGGCTTTAAATTGCAATCCTGTGTGCTTATTTACAAAAACAATCCATGACTTTTGGCATTCACTAGTGAAAAATAAATAATATAAAAAAAATTTTTGTAAAAAAACAAAAAAATTATATTTGAAAGAGTCCACAAAAACTTTACCTTGTGTGCTCCTTCACCATTGTGCACTCACCTGACGTATATGACCATACCATTAAGTGAGGTCAAATACAGCGTGTGTCCCTTTAAATGGACTTAGAGATGAGTGGACATATATATCCCTGTCCCAGATGGGTGGATGGATCAGTGGAGTGTTTGCCTTTTTCCAGCAGGGGGTCTTGCTATTTCCCAGAGGCCTGCTTTCCTGGAGTTGGATGGATGGGGGTCTCTTCCCTCCTTTCTGACAAATGTTCTTGGGGATTAGTCAAGATGATGTCACAATCAAGGGTGGACTGACCATTTGGAAACTCGGGCACTGCCCGAGGGCCCGGGGTCAGAAGGGGACCCCATGAGATGCCCCTGGTACCTTTTTCATAGGCTTTTTTGAGTTTGGGCAAGGACACAGGGGCCCCATGATCCCCTATTGCCCGGGGGCCCCATGAGTTGTCAGTCCGCCCCTGGTCACAGTTGCGCAGTTTGATTGTTGGGAATGGATACTCCAAATGGTAGTGGTGTTCCACACTTCTTGAGGACTTCAAGATTGACTTAACACAAGATTTTGCCCCTTAGATACCAAAGGATTTGTTCAATCACTAGCCACAAAAACTGCACGGATTCTCACTTGGCTGTGGTGATGCTGTTGTGCAGGCTAGATCGTGGTTACGGCAGGACACGTTCACAGGGCTGTATTCAGAGTGTTGTAGCTGAGCAATGCTTGGATGGAGCTGCTACTATCTGTCGCTATTAGGACGCGATCGGATCGCGATCGCATATTCAATGACATTGTAATTCTAGTGTCATGCAATATATTGTAGCCAGGTTCAGCGAGCTTTTAACAAGGATCTGTGTGGAATTAGAGAAGTAGTGGCCAAGGTAATTGATACTGGGGGCTTCATGTACAGTCTGTGGGATAAAATATATCAGGAGACTTCAGGGACTAAAAGTATATGTAAACCCTCACCTTTTAACCACTTCAAGTCCAGACACTTTCACACCCCCTTCCTGTCCAGGCCAATTTTCAGCTTTCAGTGCTATCACACTTTGAATGACAATCGCACGGTCATGCAACACGGTACCCATATGAATTGTTTAGCATTTTTTTGAGACAGATAAAACTTTATTTTGATGGTATTTATTCATCACTGGGGTTTTCATTTTTTTCTATATAAATGAAAAAATCAAAAAATTTTGAAAAAAAGTGTTTTTCTTATAGTTGCAAATAAATAATCTTTCTTCATAAATCTTGGCTAACATGTATTCATCTATCTTTTCAGTAAAAAAATAAATAACCCAAATTAGCTTATAACCAAAAAATTATATTTTTTCAAAATTTTATCTTACATTTTAATTTAGTTTTTTTATATTATTATTTATGTTTTTTTTTTAACATACTGTCACCCTAGCAGTACAGTGTCACCATAGTGACACTGTACTACTTGTGGGGGTGATGAAGATTTTTTTTATTTTTTTTACACTGATTGCTTTTACACCCATAAAGGCTGTAAAAATAATCATTTCTCCTTCTCTCTGGCTGCATTACTGCAGCCATTGAGAAATACTGTGAGAGCTGTGATTGGTCACAGCTTGTCACATGGTAAAAGGCTGTTGTGAATAGCCTTGTACCATGTGACCACTGTGATCATTCACAGATTTCACACATAGTAAGCAATAATGTCAGGAAGTGAAATTGTGTTTACTACTATTCATGTGATCACTGATTGACCAATCAGTGATCACATGAATTGGGACCTCACACAGAGGTCCCGTACAGCGATCTGTGTCCTCCGGACACAGCGGGCACTGATCTTGGTGCCGCGCGCTCCCAGGAAGTGCGCACAGGCAGTGGATGCTGGGGGGATGTTTAGAAACGTCCACCCGCATCGGCAGCACTCCCGCCTGGCCGTTTATGAACATGGGCGGGATGAGAAAAGGTTAAAACAACCCATTCAGTTTAAAATCAAAATAAAAGGCAAAACATTTGTGTATACATATAAAAACATTATATATACCTCTTTTATTGTATTTTATTTTTATACGTAATCCAATACTCTCTTTTCTCAGCTTTATAGAGAGGTAGGAGCGGAGAAACAGCAGGACACTGTTCTTCCTAGTGAATAGCTGTGCATCCAGTGGAGGGCATGTCAGCAGAAGTCTGTTCATTGGAGGAGAGCAGGCTGAGTTCCCAGCACAACAAACAAACTGCCCACACTGTGTGCTATTGTACCTAGTGTGGTCAGTTTTTTAATAGGAGGAACACCCGGGATTTCACACAAAGGAGACAATACAAAGAGAACAGGATACTTTTTCGCACAAATACATGGTACATCAGGTACATATCAGGAATATGAAATGTTGGGTTTACATATTCTTTAATATGTACAGTCTGGAGGAAAGAAGGGAAAGGGGAGACATGACTGAAACCTTTATATACAGGCGGTGAATGCGGTCCAGGAGGGCAGTTTTTTTAATATGGAACCAAGAACAAGGGGACCTGACTTCAAGCTAGCAGGAGAAAAGTTCAAATCAAATCTTAGAAAGTATAATTTTACCAAAAGAGTAGCTGATACTTGGAACAGACATCCAGCAGAGGTAGTGAATCAGTCAATAGTAAGTGGATTCAAACATGCTTGGGACAAACATAGATCTACACTCAGAAAAACAAAACAAAAACATATATATACAGTATTGGGCAGATTCGATGGGCCACTTGGTCTTTTTTCTGCTGTCACTCTTCTGTGTTTCTAGCCTCCAACATAATCAAAGTGCTAACTATAACATTATATGTTACGATACAGAAAACTGTCAGAGACATTAACAGTAGATAGAGACTGGGGCCATGGAACAGGAGATTAGAAGAACCTGAGAGACCTGTTACAAGAAATGGTCAGGGACTTTGGACATTTTACAAGAGATAGCCAGAGACTGTGAGCATGTTACAAGAGATCGTTAGAGACTGGTGGCATGAACAAGGAGATGTTCAGAGACTGTAGACATGCTAAATGAGTGACTGCAGACTGAAGATATGCTGCAGAAGACAGAGACTGGGGGAAGAATGTTAGAGTTTAACACAATTACATTTCCTTTAAAAATCAATGCTCCCTTATTTGTGCTCATTACAGCTCCCTTAAAATTTACTGGTACCATATACAAAAAAAAAAAAAGGAAAAGAGAATGACAAAAGTAAGAATGTATTAACAATATAATCTAAGCCATTCAACTAACAAAAGTCAATCGAATTAATGATTTTCCTTCACTGGCCCTAATTTAAAATCTAAGCGACTACAGACTACAGGCCACTGGCTGCTGGGGTGCAAGGGCTGCAGGTTGGACATGAGAAGATTAAAGTGACTGTAACAGATATTTTTTAACCAATTGCCCTCTGCCCTATAGCAGAAGTACTGCTACAGAGCGGCAGGGCTGCGCACTCCACCCGTGCAGTTATTGGCTGCTAGAGGTGTCAATCAACTCTGTGATTGTCGGCAAGGCTGAGAGGGGAGAGATCTGTGTGTAAACAACACAGATCTCTCTCCTGTCAGCATGGACATGCTGCTTTGTATCTCTCTGCACAGAAGAGAGATACAAAGCAGCATGTCTCCCTAGTAAAACACAGCACAGCACACAATGTGACACAGACACAGCACACAGTTAACCCTTTGATTGCCCCAGATGTTAACCCCTTCCTGGCTAGTGCCATTAGTACAGTGTTAGTGCTTTTTATTAGCATTGATCACTGTATTAGTGTCATTGGGGATGTAGGTGGCAGTTAGTCAGTTCCAATGTATATACAATTCCAGTGTACAGGTGAAACTCGAAAAAGTAGAATATCGTGCAAAAGTTAATTTAGTTCAGTAATGCAACTTAAAAGGTGAAACTAATATATGAGATAGACTCATTACATGCAAAGCAAGATAGTTCAAGCCGTGATTTGTCTTAATTGTGATGATTATGGCTTACAGCTCATGAAAACCTCAAATCCACAATCTCAGAAAATTAGAATATTACATGCAATTAATAAAACAAGGATTGTACATAGAACAATATCGGATCTCTGAAAAGTATAAGCATGCATATGTACTCAGTACTTGGTTTGGGCCCCTTTTGCAGCAATTACTGCTTCAATGAGGCATGGTATGGAAGCTATCAGGCTGTGGCACTGGTCAGGTCAGCAGTCTTTCCCATGATTGTGATTCCTACTGAACCAGACTGAGAGACCATTTAAAGGCTCAGGAACCCTTTGCAGGTGTTATGGCTTAATTAGCTGATTAGAGTGGGACACTTTGAGCCTAGAATATTGCACCTTTTCACAATATTCTAATTTTCTGAGATTGTGGATTTGGGGTTTTCATGAGCTGTAAGCCATAATCATCACAATTATGACAAATCACGGCTTGAATTATTTTGCTTTGCATGTAATGAGTCTATCTCATATATTAGTTTCACCTTTTAAGTTGCATTACTGAAATAAATGAACTTTTGCACGATATTCTAATTTTTCAAGTTTTACCTGTATATGCCGCCATTTGTAGATGCTATAACTTTCACTTAAACCAATTAATATACACTTATTGGAATTTTATTTTTAGCAAAGACATGTAGCAGAATACATTTTGGCCTAAATCTATGCAGACATTTGATTTTTAAAATCTTTTATTGTGTATATATTTTATAGCAAAAAGTAAAAAAATTGTATTTCTTTTTTCAAAATTGCATTGTATCGCAAAAAGTGGTCTGGTAATCTTCCGGAGGGCAAGTTGGTAAAATAAGAAACACGTTATACTTACCTGCTCTGTGCAATGGTTTTGCATAGTGCAGCCCTCTTTTCGGCTGGTGCTCATAGCTTCTCCCCCTGGCAGAGTACTCCACGCTGTTCTCTCACTGAGTCCACTGAGGAGGAATAGAGAGAGCACAGCCACTCGGGTAGAGCGCGGGATCAAGATCGGGCTCAGAATCAGGTAAGTATTTGGGGGGGGCCTACACCTAAAGGTTTTTTACCGTAATGCAGTGAAAGCATTAAGGAAAGAAAAACATTTTAGCTTTTGCAACCACTTTAACTTGCTGTGTAATCACCTTCTCTGAAACCAGAACAGAACAGTGATATGAACCTGGGAACTCACTCATTTGCATTCTATGTCCAGAGACTTGCACAAGATAAGTATACCAGCCTCTATAAGGATTTAAACTGTTGCTGTACAAGATGGATGTCAGGATGATAATCAAAGCCAATTTAGCAGGCTTCATGTGACTTGAATAACACATTTCCTATATTACTGGTTAATACCTTTTAGTTTTCCCCAGGTAAATTAAAATTACATGTTACTCTGTTTTTGCCTCCTTGATGTAATCACATTTCTATTTTATCAAGATCTATTTCAAGCATAAAGGTAGCATACCTGTTTTAAGCATAGCAATCCATAGTTGTACATAGTTTCTCTCTTTTATTTATGATGGTCATGACTACAAAATACAATTTTTCATTTTTAGTTAGGAAAATGTAATAGTTTGCATAGGAATATAATGTAGTCTTAAATTCAGCCAGCAGGTAGAGCTTAAGGGCTCGTTCACACTTGACTTTATTCCTAACTCTTGCCAAACGCCCCTATAGCATTTGACAGGCATTTGTGAAGCTTTTTTAGTGCTCCTCAAATGCTCACAAAACTCCCTATGTGTGGTTTTGAGGCGGTTGATCGGCATGTGCCAAGCATTAAAACCGCACCACAAACTCCTATAAGGCTAAGTTCACACTAGCATTGTCAGCAGGCATCAGACAGTCATTTGGGAAGTGTTTTTAACGCTTCTCAAACACCTATGAAAATTCTGCACATGGCAGCACACAGTGCTGTTCACACGGAAACGTTAGTTCCGCGTCGCGGCAAAACTGATGCCTCGGGTCGAGTCAGGAGGAGTTGAAGCCTCCCATTCAAGTCTACGGTGTAGCTCCGCAAACGCCTGGCAGGCGTTTGCAGTGCAGTTGCGAGGCGTTTGCAGAGCGTTAATACCACTCATCGTTATGACTGGGCGTCATATGACATCCTGTCAAAACAAACAGCGCACACGGCCACGAGAGGCGCGACAGTGTCATGTGACCTCTGTGACCAATCACAGCAGATCACATGTTAATTGTATACAACGGATGGCTTCCTGTCATGCCATCCATTGTATACAATTATTTTGTTAGCTGTGACTGGTCATGGCAGTCACATGATACAGACAGGGCCAATCAAATCCCATCTGTATCATGTGATCAGCTTTGCCCAACCACAGCTAATCACAGCAAAAGACTGAATGTATCAGTTTCATTCAGTATCAATGAGTGCAAATATCAATGAAATACATTGGTATTAGTAATCATAATGTGTTAAAAAAAATCCTGATCACTTGCCCAGAGTAGTTCATTGTTACTATGGTAACATTGTATTGCTTTGGTCACAGTGTGCTGAAAAATAAAATAATAAAAAAAAAAGAAAAAATGTAATAAAAATTAAAAAAAAAATAATAAAAAACATTTGAAAAACATACAAATTTAATTATTAATATTATTTTCACCAAAGAAATGTAGCAGAATACATTTTGACCTAAATTTATGAAGAAATGTTATTTATTTGCAAAATTTTATGACAGAAATGAAGAAAAAAATGCGTTTTTTTCAAAGCTTTCAGGTGTTTTTTGTTTTATTTAGCAAAAAATAAAAAACTCAGTGGTGATTAAATCCCACCAAAAGAAAAATTACAAAATGTCATATGGGTATAGTGTTGCATGACTGCGCAACTTTCATTCAAAATGCGACAGTGCTGAAAGCTGAAAATTGGCCTGGGCAGGAAGGAGGTAAAAGTGCCCGGTATTGAAGTGGTTAATACTATGTTTTATAGCCAAACCAGTTAAATTAATATGAAAGTGCATTAATACTTATTGTATAATCTAATTTTAAAATTTTAAGTT